TAAGATACTTTTAAAAGTTTGGATTGAAGTTGTTGTTTTGTTATTATTTGAGAGAAATGAGTTCCAAAAAAGTGGCCCTCGTTAAGTTATTGAGAATTCAGATTGTTTAAACGAAGAATTTGGTACCTGATAATGAAGCAATGAATACTTTGTTTGATATTTATGATCTATAATAAAGAATAAAGAATGGTAAACATTCAGCACTCCAAGCTTACGAAGCAGTGGATTGGCACTGGTGTATTTATAAGCATTTAATATAAGGCGGCTTGCTTGTTTTTGTTTTTTTAAGATGCAAGTTAGTCTTGTCGAGTAAGTGCTTGCCCAAGCAATGTTACAATAACTAATATAGCTATGAATAAATGAAAAGTAAATAAGTTTTAAACAGTTTTTATCCAACATATATCTAGTTTTATACATAATTCCAATACTTTTTGAAATTTTATTTTTTATTAGATTAATATGCTCTTGTCAATTTATTTGCTCATTGCATCATGATTAAAACGCCTAACGAATTTAACACAGTATGTCCGTTAAAACTTGATTTTTTCTATTAAAATATCCGAGAGTTTTAAAAACAACGTGTCAGATTTAGAAGATTTAGAAAATAAAGTATATTTGCTTTAAGTAGGTTCAGAGAGAGAGAGAGTTTGTTGGCTTTAAACCATTCATTAAGGTTATCAAGTTCACTATTCATAGTGGTAAATATTGTCTTAATGTTAGAGTGAGTATAAAAAACTTAAGAGTAGTCAGCAAAAAGATTCAAGTTTAGTATACTAGATGAAAAGTAAATATCGATGATATAAATAATAAACAACAAAGACCCTAGAATAGATCCATGTGGAACTCCGCAGGTAATGTTTTCTAATTTAGTGTAGGTTTTGTCATAAGATACATATTGTTTGCGGTTTTTGAGATAGGAACAAAACCATTTAAGATTATTACTTTTAACTTTATAAACTTTAAGTTTGTAAAGAAGAATGGTCCACAGTATCAAAGGCCTTAGAGAGGTAAATAAACACTCCAAGAGAATATTGGTTGTTTTCAAACCCATTTGATACTTCACTAACTATTTTAATTACTGCATATTCTGTCGAGTGTCCTTTTCTGAATCCGTACTGATTATTATTTAGAACTTTGCGAGTTCTAAATAATAATCAGTACGGATTCAGATAGCTGTAAAGTCTATTATGCATTATTCGCTCTAGAACTTTAGAAAAAATCATGGGAGTATGGAAATAGGTCTGTAATTAGATAACTTTGAGATATTACCATCTTTAAATAATGGAATTACTCTAGCCAGTTTCAAGAGATCAGGAAAAACTCCATTTTTAAATGAAAGATTAAAAATAATAAGTAAGAGGTACTCAATAATATCAAAAACTTCTTAAACAACCTTAGAGCTTATACTATCAAGGCCTGCGTTTGGTTTTATCATATTAAAATCAAACTGAAGTTCATCAGGCAATACCTCAAGCTCATCCATTACGTCCTTTTATTTTAGATATAGTTAAAAAAAAAAATTTTCCTGGTGTTATTTTGTTTGCTAGGTTTTTACCCACGTTTATAAAAAAAGTTATTGAAACTGTTTGCAATATCTTTTTTCTTGTTATTTATTGATCTTTCATCCTCAGTATATAAATATTTCGGTAAATAATTACAACGAGTTTTCTTTTCCTATCATTTCCTTTATTATATCACAAGTTTTTTTGTTATTTCCGATATTATTTTGTAATAAATTTGAGAAATAATTATGTTTTTATTGGTACCATATAATTCCCAGTAGACACGGACGTAAAAAAGACGTCTTTTAAACGTCTTTTACACGTTTTGGACTTCTTTTAAACGTCTTTTGAACGTTTTGGACGTCTTTTGAACGTTCAAAAGACGTCTTTTTTGGGTCCAGTGCCCACTGGGTTTTATTTAATGAAAGTTATAACCTGCATAATATTTATATTTAAAATTATTTCTTTGTTTTCTATTTTTCATTTAGGTTAAAATTAAAATATTTACTGTATTAGGCATCCGATACTTTTTAATTATTTAAAATTTTAGTAACATTTAAAATGAGGCTATTCTCAGAGCCAGGTTACATTTTTAATGAATAAAAGCTAGTTTGGTGTCCAAAAATTTTTTGATTTAATTTACACAGTCAGTGTCGCATGTCTTTGAAAAAAAATTTCGACGTTTCGGCTAGATTTATTGTAATTTCGGCCTGATCCGGAATAACCTAAAAGTCACAAATTCCGGTCGGAACGGAATTCCAGTACATCTCTACTAAAAATCCACAATTTTAAATTATTTTTACCTCCTGAAAATAAATAAATGTAATAAATTTCAACCTTTAGGTTCACTTTTTTTAACCATGACAAATCAGAAAAAGATAAGTCAGATAACGGTCATTAATAACATTTTACAACCTATAAACAGCCTAATTTAAAATTGGCTAAAAATCCACCATTTTAATTTTTTTTCGACCCCATTGATATTATTTTTTCTGAAAAATTTATATTTTTGTTAACTTACATTTAAATTTGATAAGAATAAACTTAAACGAGATCGAATTAGTAACTGCCCAGTGGGCACACGACGTTATTTCGACGTTGATTTACAGTTGATTTTTAGTCGCGACGTCGTATAACCAAAAATCAACGTTACATGTATTATTGTTATATTGTCAAATTCAAAACCTTATAAAAAGGCAACAGATGGTCTAATTATTAGCATGTGTGACTTTACTTGTTTTTATTGGGCTAATAAATAACTTGTTAAATCTTTACTTGTTATTAATAACAAGTATATATATAAACATAACATAACATAACAAATATATTTGTTATGCTGATAAAAAAAATTTTAAGTCACGCATGCGTATTTTAGTTCTCAATAACTTGTAATGCAGTTAGTTAGGTAAATATTAAATGGATATTTCTTTATGACCGTATTATTTCATGAGTGTGGATTACAAGTAGAGATTATTTGAATTATTTTTACAGTTTTTTAAGTAAGTTTTTTTTTAGAGTTTGATAAAATTGTTTTACTATGTATTTTAGTGTATTTGACAATACTAGTTTAGGTACGCGGAAATCGCGATTTACGGAACCGATTTTTATGCTAAAATTTTGGTTCTCGTTTTTTTCACTCTTTTTTATGCAGCGTGAGGCAGATGTAGTTTTAAGTAGTTTCTTTTTAGAAACATATATAGACATAGATACTTTTTGGAAAGAAGAAAAGTTAATCTTAATTTTTGAAATACTTTTATGTATGGTTACTAAATTTTATTATGGAATATTTTGCTCCTGAATATTAAGTTGATGTTCTCTCATGAATTTGTGGTCAAAGAAATGTAGAGTCTGCTTTTTTTATTATTAAAATAGCTTGTTTCATGCATTTTCTATGCACATGCCAAATTTCAACAAAAAATAATGATAAGCAATTAGTCTAATTAGTGTTATACCAAGTATACCACTTTTTTCAGGTAGCCCTAGGCAAACGGTTTTTTGAGGTGGTTATTTTTAGAAACATATATTAACCTTGACGACTTTTGAAAGAAGAAAGATTTGGCTTGATTTATATAAACTATTGTGTATTGCTAACATACCTTTTTATGGAGTATTTTGCTAAGAATTTTGCATGGAAATTTGGCTGATGTTGTAACATAGATTTGTAGTTGAAGAAATGTAGAGTCTGCTTTTTTTATTATTAAAATAGTTTTTTTTATGCATTTTCTATGAACATGCCAAATTTCAACGAAAAATAATTATAAGCAATTAGTCTAATTAGTGTTGGACTTTAGGTACCTAATTTCGATTTTTTTTTTGTTGTTTTTTTTGGTAAGCAAAATCCGGTAGGCGCCGAAATCCGGATAAGGGGGCGTTTCAACTAAAAATCTTATTTTGAATTATTGTGATATACAGGGGCGGACTGGCCATGTGGAAGATGTGGACTATTCCACATGGGCCGTTGTTAAGTACTTTGTTTTTACGTATATGTATTCTAATAAATTTTTTCTGTTCGATATTTATTCATTAATGTATATATTTATAAATTAAGCATAACTTTGTAATTTACGTCTGTTATCTTTGCTGCTTTTCCTCATTTTTCGTTGGCCTACAGGGCCGTTAAAAATATTTTTCCACATCATAATAATTTGGCCAGTCCGCCCCTGGTGATATATATTATTAGATTTAAAAAAATATGGCAACATATAGCAAGAGTGTGTTAGATGCCCTAACAGAAAGTAAGTTCAATTTTTTTTTATTCTTAATAATAGTATTAATAACTTTTCAACTCCAAAAAATAATGATTAATGTAAAACCTTCATTGTTTTTTATGTAACATATTAAAAAAGATTAATGTTTAAGATTAAAACTGTTGGTATTCATTGAATAATTCATAGTCACAGTTTTAATTTTTTTAAACACTAAAAATTTTTTTTGTTAGGCTTACACTAATGCAGTATGTAATTTACTCATTTATATGTGGTTTATAATAGCCTATTAAAACTGATTGTCACTTGTTAGATTCAGTTGACAATTTATTAAAACATGGTAAAGCTACAGTTACGCGGCCTAAAATAATTATATTTTTGCCAGGGGGTTTTGCTACATCGACTATCTTATAGCCTGACTCGCAACGGAGTGCTGCTACATCGACTGACAAATAGCCTGACTCGCAAGGGAGTGCTGCTACATCGACTGAGGGTTTGGCATGGGTAAGCAATCTTTTTTCATTTATTATATCGATGTAGCAAAACCCCCTGGCAAAAATATAATTATTTTAGGCCGCGTAACTGTAGGATTACCTTAAAACATTACATATAAACAATTTTATTACATACTTCATTACGTTAATCTTAACAAAAAGCTTCTTATTGTTTTTAAAATATAACAAAAGATATCATTATTATTGTCTTTTATCATATTTGGATTATATACTTCTTTATCTATGGATTAATGTTTAAATCATTATACAAGCATGTCTAATATTTATTTCTTGTTTAGATCCTGCCCAGCTTTTTGTTGATTTTTTGAGGTTTCGTAAGTATAAATCACATAAAGTTTAAATTTAATATTCACTAAGAGATAAAGTATACAATAAGTAAATATTAATAAACATTTATAATATCTTCCTATCTATAGTAATTCTTAAAAAAACTAGAGTTAATTTTTTTACTTATTGTATATCATCTTTTTATGTGTTTATTGTTTACATAAGTTTATAACCATTCCTAATGTTAACTTGTTGCTTATAAATATATTATCTTTATATTTTAATAGTTATATTTAGTTGTTTATTTTCATTTTTTTAGTATAGTTGTTTCATCTTAAGTAGAAAATCTTTTAACTTTAGTACAGCTTTTAACATTTGTAACTTACTGTTGACAATTTTAAATTATTTTGTGCACAAAGTTTTTGTTATTTTTAGTCGAATCTACACAGCCCATCACTGGTAAGATTTTATCAGTTTGTATATGCTAATGATTATAGAATTAGCTAGTACTTTTTATTCTGTAAATAAATTTGAAAGATTACCCATTTCAAAGTCCTTATTTGCAATATTTGTTTCTTATTACAAATTTTGAATTTAAGTTACATCTTTGACTTCAACAAATGGTAAATTTAACAATTATTACTTTTTAATATGTGTATATATTTTTGATGACTGCAGTATAAATTTTTTATTAAATAATTCTTAACCTTAGTTCCTTCTACATCTGCTATAAGGGGTATGTTAACTAATTTTTACTTTTCAAAATGTTTATACATATCTTGGCAATTTCAGTAATTATTTTTAATTACAACTTTGATAATATTTAGTTACATCTTCAGCACCCAGTAACTATAACTATAACTAGTAAGTTTATAAACTATTATTTGCAAATGTTTACTCACCTTTCTTATCAATTGCAAATTTTTATAGAAACTTTTTTTATTTTTAGTTCCATGTGTTCAACCTCCTGCTGGTAAATTTATGATTTAAAAATGTTTTTAAATGATTTTTTAATTTATGTTTATACTTGTATACACTATTTAATGCATTAGTATTGTGTTATCCCTCAAAGTGCAGTAAAATAAAATTATTACTCTCATGAACATTTTTTACGCTATCATTGATTAATACGTTGTTCATGTTATTTATTAAGCCTATCACTTTTACAATTAATTGTTTTATATTACATTTTAAAGCAGCACAAAATTGACTACTGTTACATTTGTAACTACATTAACATTTGTTGACAATTTCAAATTATTTTGTGTACAATTTTTTTTTTTATTTTTAGTCGAATCTACACAGCCTATCACAGGTGAGTTTGTATTAGTTTGTATATGCTAATAATTATAGAATCAGCTAGTACTTCTTGATCTGTGAACAGATTTCAAAGATTACCAGTTTCAAAGTCATTATTTGCAATATTTATTTTTTATTACAAATTTTGAATTTTAGCTACATTTACGTGTTCAACGAATGTTAAGTTTAACAATTATTACTTCTTAATATGTGTATATATATTCCTGATGAATGCAATAAAAAATTTTTATTAAATCATTTTTAACCTTAGTTCCTTCTACATCTGCTATTTGTGGTATGTTTACAAGTTTCTACTTTTTAATATGTTTATGCATATCTTGGCAATTACAGTATTTATTTTTAATCACAACTTTGATAATCTTTAGTTACATCTTCTGCGGCTTCTATGACTCGTAAGTTTAAAAACTATTATTTGCAAACATTTACACACCTTTCTTATCAATTGCAAATTTTTATAGAAACTTTTTTTATCTTTAGTTCCAGGTATTCAACCTTCTGCTGGTAAATTTATGATTTAAAAATGTTTCTTAATGATTATTGAATTTATGTTTATATTTATATACACTATTTAATGCATTAGTATTGTGTTATCCCTCAAAGTGCAGCAGAATGAAATTATTACTCTCATTAATATTGTTTAAGTTATAATTGATTAATACGTTGTTCATATTATTTATTCAGCCTATCACTTTTTCAATTAATTGTTTTATATTAAATTTTACATAATGCCATTCAGTACTAATCTATTAACAAATCATTGTCATTTAGAGCTAACCTATCAAGACTACTTTATTGACATTTTTTGCAAGTTTGAATGAGAAGGGGAGGGGGGCGTTGGGTGTAGCACACATTTCTACCTGTACTAACATATTATAATAATCTTGAATACTTGTTTCTCTTTTCCAATAAACTTAATTTAAAACTATTTTTCAAATATCTTTTAAAATTTTTTTTTTAGGTTGGATACGACTGGGCAGGAAGGGGGGCGTTTGGCGTGGCACATGTCCCGTCCCTTATGTCAACTTATACACCACTTGTATATGCTGTAAAGTAAGAAAATTTAATTTAAAATTTTTCATACAAAATATAATCATTGTTTTTTAGGTTCAAATATTTATAACAATGTAGCATTTCACTACGAGGGTGTTAAAACGTAACAAAGACATCAACACTTCAATCTAAAATAGACCACTAATATTTGGAAATGGATTGGAAGCAAATTGGAACAATTTTTTGTGTATAAAGATGACATATTTTATCAGAAAAACACTCTTTCGTGTGAAAAACTTGTCTTTTTTTAAGGGTACGAGAGTGTTCCGTACCCCCTCCGGTCCTCTAGACGCCCCTTTCATCTATAGAGTTATATAAACTTGTAGCCTACTCTTACATCTATCTTTTGATGCCAAGGTATAGACATTTGGATAAGATTTGACAAAGTTATAACAATTTTAGTGGGAAAAAAAATAATTTTGGAACCAGTTTCTTCAATAAATCCATATATCGAAAATTTGCTACTAAAAACGCTATAACTTTTTATAGAATTGTCCGATTTTCATAATTTTTTCACCATTAAAATACTGTATTAAAGGGCTTTCTAATGATATATAATATTCTAGTATTTAATTAATTTAAAAAAATCAGTCCACGTACCTATACTAGTTTGTATATGTATATGTATATATATATATATATATATATATATATATATATATATATATATATATATATATATATATATACATATACATATATATATATATATATATATATATATATATATATATATATATATATATATATATATATATATATATATATATATATATATATATAAATTTTAGCAACTGTATAATGTATCATAATGTACAGTTTAAAGTTGTATTTTTCTGTTAGCTATTTTACATGAACAAATTTTTAATATATGAGTATTTTTTCTATTATATTTTTTACTATACTTTTCCAGTTGAAAAAGTATTGTAGGGCAAGCAAAATGTACATTCGAGCTGTTCGGATAGAAAATACAGAGAAATAGAGAGAGAAAATTTGTGCTGCCCATCATCATTAAATGTAATAAATTGTTTCAATGAAATGCATAAACCAAAGTCTAACTATTACAGATTTAATTAAATGTCATGGAGATAATGTAATTTTTTAAAATATAAACATTAAGTCATTACTTTTTTTCCTTGTTTTTTTAACATGCTTTTATTCTGTATATGTTGTTTTCAGTGTTTAGATATATTCTTTTTTATATATTCTTAATTATATAATTTATTTAAAACATTTTTAAATTGAATGAATATTCTTAGATCATGAGTTATGTGATAAATTTGAATTTGGCACAACTAGTTATACTCAGATAGAATCAGATTCAGAAAAGGATACTATTTAAAAAGATACTTAATTCAAGTATTATTAGTTTCATTTTGATATTAATTTTTAGAGGAGCCACTACCATGCTTATGCAGGAGAAAACATAACCAACAGAATAGTAAGCAAGTACCTACTCCTGTAACGCAAAAAAAGAAACAGAAAATAATTTTTATGGATACTCCACATACTGTAGCTCAAGGTATTAATTGTCTGTCTGCAAGTTGATTTAGGAAGAAAAGATTCTGAACATTTTTTTCTATGCTTCAGTGATTTACACATTTTATCGGTTGCTAAATTAATACATTTTATTTAATTTATGAATAATGTTTTATTTTATAAATGTTTTGTTGTTGTGTTTTAACGTTTTTAGAAATTAATTAATGTTTGGTTCTTTTGTCTTTCTGATATATCTTTATTGTTAGAAAGAGATGTTAGTAAAAACTCTTTCCAGTAATTAAAGTAATATCATGACAAATAGTTCTGAAATTCTATGGATGAACTTGCAGCAGTAATTTAATGGTTTTGATAACAGATTAAATGATTCTTGGGTGAGGTCTGGAGTGATGGGTTGTTTCAAACCATGACTTTTTGCAGTTTTTTTATTATTTTTTGATTGAGTATTTAATAATAACTTAGCCTAAGTTAATCTACTTGTAACTTTTTATAAATGTACTATAAAAATAATGTTGTGTAATTATTTTCTTAAACCTTTAGGTTAACAAACTTTCTAAAATTGGAGGTAAAACCATTAAGACAAATACAAAAAAATGTGATGCAAAGGTTTGTTAAAAGTAGTTTTAAATAAAAAATCTTTTGAATCTTTTTACTATAGTTTGTTTTAAACTTGTGTTAAAAATATGTTTAGCATATATTTTTAAAAGTTTGACGAATTCTAATCAGACATAAAATAAATCTTTTTTTTTATGTCTGATTATAATTTTTTTTGTAACTGTTTTCTCTTACTTTTGTATTTCCTTGAGCTAAAGAACAACCTTAAAGTACAAAGGTTGATTTGTAACGCATACTTAACCTTTTTTTTTACTCTATATATACATACATATATACGTACATAAATAAACATACATATATATGTATGTATATATACATACATATGCTTATATGAATATATATGTATATGTATATATATATATATATATATATATATATATATATATATATATATATATATATATATGTATATATATATATATATATATATATACATATATATATATATATATATATATATATATATATATATATATATATATATATATATATATATATATATATATATATATATATAAAATAATGGTGCAATTTAAAGTTTTTTTTATTTATTTATAAAGTTGTACCTGATAAAAATAAATAAATAAAGTTGAACATTTTGAAACTTTATTGATTATTTATAACTTTATGATAAATTATATAAAATATATATAAAGTATAAATATTTTGCAAAAACACTTTTATTTGCAATAACTGCTTCATTGCATTGTGGCATGCTTGCAATTTATTTTTTATAGTTTTTGTCAACTCTGGGTTATTATGCCAGATCTTGATTATCTCTTCCATAAGATCTTGCTTATTAGTAAGATTTTTTTTTCCAATCTCCTGCTTTACTATTTCCCAAATTGTTTCTATGGGGTTAAGATCATGCGAATTGTCTGGCCATAGCAATACATCAACTAAGCCATAACAGTTTTTATTGTGTGGCAAGTTGCACCATCTTGCATAAATATAAGATTTTTGACATTATTTTTAATATTTTTGAACTTTTTTTGTCACTTTTTGACTTTTTTGGCTGGACATCAATCCCTCTTCTTTTAGCCTTCTACAAATGGTCCAGTCTGACACAACAATTACAGCTTTATGGATAAGCTTAGTGGCTTTTTTTCTGTTTTCCAGGCAGATATTTCTGATTATACTGTCCGCTTTTGGTGTTTTCTTGCGTTTAGAAGGTGGTCTCCTTGGACCAAACTCTTCCCCTGTATCAATTCTTTTTCTTACTTGCATTACGGTTTGGTAAGAAACCTTTGCGATTTGTGCAATTTTTCATTGAGAATAATTTGTATTTTGTAAAAGACATGTTTATCAATTTTTAATGTAACTATAATAATAATAACAATGTATAATGCAGGTTGTTGACCAATGGTTTATAATCAAAATTTAATATGGCTGGCGGTAAAGGTAAAGAGAAGTTTAAAGCAACAAACATTAGGTATTTACTTGTAAGTTAAGTGTAAAATTATATGTTTTTTAAAAATCACAGTTCGTTTTTTTAATGCTATTTTATTTTTAACTTTTTGATGTATCTGATGCAAATTACTCAGACAATACCTTTTTTCATAGAGAGCGTTTTATCAATTAAAGTGACTGCTACAGTTACCGAAATAAGAAAAGGAATAATGACTTTATTAAAATACGCACTCGACAGATCAAATGGTGGTGGTCAGCGCGTAAAAGGCGATTCACCTGATGTATAATATTCATAGTTTTTCCTAGTTGTTCTGGAACTATTGATAATAGTTATTATTGATAAATTGATAAATATATTACTGATAAATAAAACTTTTTTTTTTTCAAACATTTTACTTTATTTGCATTGTATATAAAGTCCGTTGAAGCAATTTAGTTGTATCTGATTAATTAACGTGAAATATAATATCCTCTGCGCAAATTGTTGCTTTTTTATTGTGTTAATTTATTGCAGTTAAAGTTGAGATAATTTTTTAGTTAATTGAATTTAACCAAAATAAAAAACAAAAATCAACGTTGAGTTTACGTTGTTTCAACGTTGTTCTAACGTCTTATCAACTACGTATCAATCGAATATATTACCTATTCAAAATTGAAATATGGTTGATATGTAGTCGATAAGACGTTAGATCAACGTTGAAACAACGTAATCATCGACGTTGTTTCAACGTCGTAGTTTTCGACGTCGGATTTTATTTCCAATTCAACCAAATTTCAACGTTGTTTCAACGTGGCATATGGTCGGTTTACGACGTTGTTTCAACGTTATTTCAACGTCATCGTGTCTGCTGGGTGACTAGTTCATAATTTTAGTTTGAATTTTTTATTTTTTATTTATAAGTTTGAACTTTTATGTTATATTTTTTTATAAAATGTTTTTATATACGAAAATATTGTTGGCTTATCATAAGAACAGGCACAGATAGTTATTAAGACTTATCCAAAGCAGCATCCGTTATTGACCAACATTTGCGTACCGAAGTACTACTCAAGCGCTAATTTGGCGTTGCAGGATTCGAACTCGTATCGTAAAACAGTCCGAGTGAGAGGTGGTGTTTTAGGATTCCCTATAAAAACCATATGTTTTTGAAATTTATCGTATTAGGTACCTCACTTTAACATCAGATTGTTAAAAACACTCAAGGGGTATGCAGGTGGGGTTTTGAATTTCAACAATTGAAGGGCAGTTGAGACGGGAAGACTAAATAAGCGCAAATTTCATTAGTCCAAACTGGCATAAGTGCGAATTTGGCGTAATTGCGAACTAGCGTATATGTGAATAGGCATAGGTGCGAAGGTGTGGCAAAAACTGGCACAAGTGCGAACTGGCATAAGTGCGAAGCAGTTACAGAAACTTGCATTAGTGCGAACTAGCATAAGTGCGAATTGGCATAAGTGCGCCAAATAAATTTGCAAATATTGGCATAAGTGAGAATTGGCATAATTCTAAATTGATAAACTAAGTTAGATAGGTTATAATAAAAAAAAAAAATATATTTTTTTATTTTCATTTCTCAGACTTTATAATTGTTTTACTAATAATGTGTCACGTGCTGTAATCGAATAAAAATGGAATAGAATGAGATAATCGAATTTTTTATAGATCTATAATCAAATATTACCATTCCTTGTTAATTATATAGTTAATTTTTAC